CTGGTAAGGATGCTCCCTGGGCGCCTCTCTAGGGAGGTACTTCAGGCATGTGTGACTGGGAGAAGGACACGCTGGTGAGATTATGTCCCTCGGTTGGCCTGGGAATGCCTTGGGCTTCCCCCAGAACAGCTGGAAGAGGTGGCTGTGGAAAGAGATGTGTGGGCCTCCCTGCTCAAGCTGCTGCCCCCACGACCTGACTTCAGAACAAGCGGAAAATGATGGATGGGTGGACAGACGGACGGACGGACAGACGGACGGACGGACGGACGGACAGACGGACGGACGGACGGACGGACGGACGGACGGACGGACGGACGGACGGACGGACGGACGGATGGATGGATGGATGGATGGATGAATGGATGAATGGATGGAACATGATTCTGAAAACGCTCCATTTTTAGATGCTGTTTTTCACAGACTGGTGAACCTCTGCCCATCTTTACTTCTGGGAGATTCACTCTCTCTAAAATTCTCTTTTTATATCCAGTCCTGTGTTGCTAATTAAATGTTAATGTTAAAATCTTATTCTGTTTTTTCTTATTATTATTATTATTATTTATACTACTTACTTTTTCAGTTACAGCCCCAATCTTCCCATCAGCAATGCAAATACCTCAAGTTATTATTATCAGTGGATGTTTTAAAGTTTTTCCATGTCAGAAAACGTGGAGATTTATAAATGAGGTTATGAGGTTTACTCTCCTCGACCTCTTTTCTTGCATCTGAATCAACCTGTTCATCAAACAAATATGTATTAACAATATTAAAATAATTCTCCTCGCTCGCTCCAGCTCTGCACAGTGAAAACGATGAGTGCCACATGAATCAAACCTAAATGCTCTCCGAACGACTCGCTGAAACATGGTGAGACTAGATTGGACATGAATATTGACAACACTGATGGATCATATTTGTCCTCAGTAGATTAAAACTTTAAATGAAGAATGATGAGGGGGGGAAAGAAGCACCGAGGGAAAGGATGGCTCAGAGCAGACATGAGGGTGAAAAGATGTGGAGGCGACAACCAATAAGAAATTGTTTTAGGGACAAAAGCCTGTAATTTGCATGGTAATCTTGGAACACTCCCACTGAGGCTGTCAGTTGTGGAGCTGTGGAGATTCTGTTGTATTTTCAATCCACTTTTAACAAATTAGTCACACAAGTGGAGCTCTCATGGAAGCCGTGTGCATTCATGACTGCTTTGACATCGCCATCAACTCTGGGAAGAATCGTTTATTGCTCTGCAGTGCTGCAACTCAGTAATTTCTGTGTTAAATCTTAAACAGTCCTATTTTGACGAGTCCTCAAAACATCTAAAAACCATTCATTTATCACCAGAATCCATCAATGATGCAAAATATGAGTTTGAATAAAATCAAATCAAATATTTTCTGCTCGTCTGCTGGCAAATGCTAAAACCAACAAACAGACAGAAATAATTTAGCAATTTTAGGGCCTATAGAAATGTATTCAGGCAAAAAGATCACACAGCTCCGTAGACTGTCAATATGAGGCTGCAGAAGATCTGAATTTAATTGTTTAGTCATCTGGCATTTCTTCAAAACAGACGCCTCTGACTCACTGGCAGAAAATATGAAGAGAGCAGGCATCAAAATGATCCTCTGTTTCAGAATTTTTTATTCTTTTTTAGTTGGAGAAGAAGAAATATTGACATGTTGCTCAACAACAACAAAAAAAAAAACTAAACAGACTTGATCAAAGTTAGAAGCTGAGAACTTCTCTTCCAGTTTGCACAGAGACAGCCAAAGATAGTTTGTTTAGCTTCTAAAGGAAAACTGTAGTTAACAAAATCTAATTCATTTAAATATTTTAGTAAAAATAAATAAATAAATAAATCAAATTAAATCAAAGCGACAGCAAAAAAAAAGAGTGCTCAAAATGCAAGTAAAAACCAATTAAAAGAAGAGGAGAAATAAATTATTAAATCAGATTTCATCTTTAAAAGTCTGGGCTGGAAACATCTCAACTTAAAAGCTGTTAAAATGTGAAAACATTTTTCATTACGCTCCAGGAGAGGTTTCGACAGGAGAAAAATTATCGTATCGAAGCCTCTTCAATGAGAAGCAAGATGAGAAATGAGACAGAGGAGGAGGAACACACACACACACACACACAGAAGGATGCATGTAGACAGAACAGAGAGCAGGCCCACCGAGGGTGACACAAGAGGCATTATTGAGCTCAGTAATGTAAGTTTCTTCTAAAGCAGTGCCTCCCGTGTGCCGGGGAGATAAGTTTTCTCTTCATATTTTGAGATTCTGATGTTCGGGCTGGGATTCAGTCATGGAGCAATCCAAGCACCAACGGGGAAGTTGGAAATGAGTGAGGTTTCTCCAAGATTTATGGACCATGGCAGATAAACTCTGTGCGTTTCAGCTGTAATTAAGTTTCTGTCACTATCAATCACAGCCCTCAATTTCCCTCTAATCAGTCTATTTCATAGCTGGGATTACTCCCCCGGTACTGGCATGAACACACCGAGCCTCTGCTTGACCGCTCTTCCTGTGCTGTCACAACTGTCTGTCTGAGCGCTTGTGGATGAAAGCTTTCATGCATACTGATGCTCTGACACAAGCAAGCGTTTGGCTAGGCGTCTGCACACAGGTGCGTTTGAAATTCAAAAAGAGAAATTTACAGTTTATTGCTGCTTGACAGGTACAAGCTGATTTCAGGAGTGATTTACTTTGGCAGCTAAACGCAATGATATGGAGCCTACAGATTCCAGAGGTTGCTCATCGGCCTCAGCCAACCTTTTCATTTCTTCTTGATGTTTTTAGGGCATCTGTGTTTGCATTTCATCAGTTTGATTCCCTTCCTGTTTTGCTTGAGTTGCATGAACTTTCAGGGTTTTCTTGTTCTTTTCAAACCATCACACAACAGAATGCTGCTCAGGTTTGAGCTGTGAGGACTAACATGTTGGGTTCATTTGGCCCGCTTTGTTTGTCTCCACATGGCCCTGTGATAAACTGGCAGCATGTCATGGGTAGACCCTAACACCCAGTGACTGCTGGAGATAAACACCAACTCCCTGTGACTCAGGGCAGGATCCAGTGGGTACAGGAAATGCATGAATGGATGAATTTACCAGCAATTGCCAGCTTATTTGTTGGTCCATCACCAGCTCAGCTTAGTCTTTTGGACAGATGGCTTCACAGAATCGTCAAGCGCTCTTTGATATGGAGCAGAATTCACAGCTGACTGTCAGAAGTCCCTGAAGCAGAAAGCAGCTCCAGCTGGTAAAAGACCTTCTTCTCCTTTAGAGCTTAATGTCTGCAGTCAGCATGGTAAAACTGCTGCCAAACTGCAATTGTGCTGTTCTTTAATTTTTTTTTTTAAACAAATGCATTGCAGTAAAATGTCCTGCACCGGCAGGTCACCTCCTGTTTGTAGACGTACATTTTGATTCTGTGATAAAATCTTGGTTTTTGGATCAATTTCACTCTTCGGCTAAATTTCCCATAGGACCGGGGTTTCCATTTTTTTAATATGCAGCAATTTTCAACACAATTCCGCCTAAAAATAAACTATTTGGAGATGTTTTTTTTTTTTTAAACTACAATGAACAGATTCTCATTTACATAATATAATATCAAGTGACCTATTTAAAAAATGACAGAAAGTAAAATGTGGAGGTATTTGGGTGTCCCTCAGCAAAGCTGGATGAGGATTCAGTGTCATGCTTGATCAAACATGTGGAAAAAGTCAACTATTCCTGCAGGATGGAGCTGCTTCTTTTTTTTCTTTCTTATTTTTAGCATGTCTATGTGCAGAATGTTACATTTTTAGAATGATTAAAACACACACCATCTTAATTGTTGTTGCCTTCTAACCCCCCTGCAGTGACTGCCACAGTAGACATCTGTAATCCACAGCCTGTGTTTAGAATGTGCTTCAGCACCTCTGTGTCACCGTGGTGCACACACTGCTGTACACAAACCAACAGTTTCTTTCTACCGTGTGAATTTGGTGAAATCTTGTTGTCACTTGTTTTCTTTGTCCTCGTATAGAGGGGGTGACGTACAGAGGACCCCTCTGTGCCTCCTGGACTTACAAGAAACCAGTAAAAACCTCTGTAATCAGGTGGCTGAGGTCATGCTGCACTGGAACATCAGTCCTCAGGCAAAAGCTGGTAAATTACAGAAGGCCAAGAGAAGAGAGCAGACGGGTTCAGACTTACTGAACAGCAGGGACTCTTCTACAGGTCAGGGATGACACATGTTTTTTTTTTTTTTTTATTAGCTGAAAAGACTTCATAGTTTGATGGACATTGCAAGTCGCTGACTCATACGCTGACAGTGTTTGAACCTGGACGGGTTATCTCTTTAATGCTTTCAGAAGCAAGTTCACCCAATTATCAGATTTAAAACACCCACTCAAGTCCACCAGCAAGTGCTTGGGTCCTCATTTCCACCTAGCAACCAGAGATATGGGAAGGAGGTGCCATTGTCCTCCCAACAGCATGAAATAATGAACAAACTGAGCAAAACATTTCAGACAGCACGTCAAAATCCACTGCCCTGCAAATGGAGTGGAAGCAAAGGGCAATTGCCAGTTAGGGGAGGGCACCCAATTAAAACCGTTTGTCTATGTGGTGGATGTTTCACTGTAAATCTCAGAAAGTGTCTCTCTGAGGGAGAGCATTTTGTTTTAAATCATTATTTCAAATGTTCACATTTAAATGCACCTTTTTGTTTCGACAGTAAAAATAAGTTTGGCAAGTTTCTACCCCACAAACCTCCTTATTCCATTTGAGCATGGCTCAATTCTTTTGGTTTGCAGAACTCGCTTCTGCGCACAAGAGGAGTAACCTGTTGCATCCTCCTCGGACACCTGGACCATTAAAACCAGACGTTTGTCCACATCTGCATGCAGAATTGATGTTTCATTGCAAAGTGACGTGATGCTCTCCTGCTTCAGAGATGCGCAACAGATTCCGCGCGCCGTGCGTAAAACGCCTCAAGCGGCTCGGTTCTCACCTGTCGTCGCTCTGCCAGTCCCCGAGCAACAGGTCTCGGAACCGGTACCGAGGAGGCAACGGGAGCACCTCCTTCTCCAGTTCCACCATGGTCCTCCTTCTCCTGGAAACACCGAGCAAGAGACAAAAACAAAAAAACGCCGCAGATCGGCACCTCCGGATGGAGGAGGTGCGCCGCAGAACCTGAAAATTCTGCTTCTTTTGCGTTCTGTTATTCAGAACATAAATTAACGAACACCTTGACGGCTCTCATGGCAGCCTCTTCCACCTCCCTCCTGTGGAGAAAAGAAACTTATTCCTTTATCAGCTCCGGCAAAAAATAAAAATGAGCGTCACTTCTCACACCGAGGCAACAGGTCGCTCATCCGAGCCGTCGGTGCTGGGGAGGCTCCACTTTTTTCAGGCTCCTCTAGCAGCAGGAGAGCAACTGGTTGTGTCTCCTGACAGCATCCTCCCTGCCTGCGCGCCGCATGGACGCACATGGGCAGACGCGACATTTACCCACTGACCAAATAATGGATCACATAAAACCGCACTCTAATATGTAAATCAACAAAACGCGGTTTGCATCAATTAAAACTGATCGTGCTCTGTCTGACATGCACGTGGCCCCCCAGAAATGTCCAACACGATGAAGATTAGCGATTATTGTCTGCAGTTCTCACATTTTTTTACTCCGCCTTTTTTTATTTTTTTTCTTGGAAACTGCACAAGTAAAGCCCAGAACACGTTTAAATAATCAGGTGCCGCGTAATTCAGTTTGAGGACGTTTAACACGATTCTGCACGGCTTCCCACTGCGCGCGGCTGCTCCCTCATCCATCTGCTAAATATACATCAGCAGGAAATGTAGGGGAAAGAAAAAAAAAACACTTAGAAACAGAAACGTAATCCTTTAACGTATTTGGAAATAATGACATTCACATTTCTCTGAAGGGTTGTTAAAACCATGCCGATTCAGGGACGCCTCCAAGATGTTTTCAATGTGGGGGCCACTGATCTTGGGGTGGCACATTAAACGGAAAAAAAAAAAAAAAAAAAAAAAGTTGAAATTTTTGTCATATTGAGTTTTTGAAAAATACTTCAACAAAAAAGTTGGGAAACTTTGATTCAGTCTTGTTTATTTTCACTTTATTTTAATGACACTCAATGTGTGTGTGTTTGTTAGCAAAATATCTTATTAACCACTAAACAAATTTCATTGAAACTTGCTGCAAGTAATCATTGGATCTACAACTGATAGGGGTCAACCAGATTCAAGAGCTTAAAAAATCTGAAATCGTTTGGAAAAAACCTGCCAAAAGCTAAAAAAAAAAACAGGCAAACTAGGTGAAGTGTTCAGCAATTTTCAGTCAGGTCATCTGGACAGTTTCTTTTTATTTTTTGCTGAAACGTTTCACCTTCTATCCAGAAGGCTTCATCAGTCAAGGAAACACAACACAAAACTGATTCTTCCCCCAAACAGCTTACTCCAAATTGGAACAAACCAGTTATGTTGGTGCTACACCCTCTCCTCTGGAGCTGGCCCTCTTCCTCGTCGACAGTCATGTCAAACTGGTTCAACCCCCCCCCCCCCCCCCCCCCCCCCAAAAAAAAAAAAACCTGGACTTTTTTGGTTTTGAACCAGTTTGATATGACTGTCAGAGGAAGAGGGCCAGCTCCAGAGGAGGGGGCGTGCCTATGACGGCCTAGCTGAGGGACAGACAGTACTTTGACAGCGAGCTGGTAGGAACTTCTCATTACAAGGAGATTTTTTGACTAAACGGGCAGTGCAGCAACAGTACTAAGGGTCGGGGGCCTGCTCGCTTGACACTGACAGGCTTATTTCCAGCCAATCCTGGCTGGTGTAAAGTAACAAGGAGCTTCTGATGAGATCACGCTGAGGATATTCCCAATGTGAGACACAAAATGAAAGCTATAGAGAATGGGGTTACAACAGCAACCTAAAGATTTCCACTAACATCAAATCATTTAGAAGAAACTGTCTACTGTTTTATAGCAGAGATCATTACACTCCACTCAATCCCCCTTGGTGGCACCCCTGTAAAGGTCACTATATGAAATCTGTCATGTTGGCAGTCTGCCCTGCTTGTAAATGGCTGTTATGTGACAAACCTACAATTTCCAATACAGTCTAATGCAGCACTACACTTCTTTTTTATTTTTTGGGGGTGGGGGGTACAGATTAGTTTTTCTGCCATTCAGAAACAGAAAACAGGATTAATCTGACAGAGCCTCTGGTCATAACAGAGCAAGTAATGAAATTCAAATGTGGTGCTCAGGAGGTCTGTTGACTGGAGGTCCCAGACAACAGATGCTATTCAAATTAACCTTTCATTAATTAATATTAATCTTCCACAAGCCAGCATTAACAAATCCACACTTCTGTCAGCTCCAAACGGAACATCAGCTCGCAGAATCGAAAATGTTAATTGCCTGTTAAACCAACGATCACGAAGAATAATTTGATACTATTTAATTAGATGCAGAGTTTGAACTGTGGGCCATTTGATGAGATTATGATTGTCCACTTCAATATAATATAAACTATACAACTTATTTATTTTGAGACCAGCTTTATACTGTATTAGAAAACTGAAGGAAAAAAAGGATGAGACAGGCTGCATGTGTTTCGCCCTCTGGTGGTTATCATGAAGCATCCAATCAGCAACAGGCTGGAATAATTAATCACATCAAGCTGCGAAACAAAAACTAATATTCAGGTTTAGGTTGAAAGACAAAAATGTAAACTGACCCATTCTGATCTCTCTCTATATATATCTTAAAATATACTTGGGGGAAAAAAAATGAAAAAGATAAAAAAGTAAAAAAATATTTCAGGTGGGTGGGCATAGCTCAGTATCCATGGTAACTACAAGTGTCAGAGTATTTCAGTGGAAACTGTTCAAAGCTCAGTAAAAGACTGTTTAATTTTATATTATGAAGTGAAGCGTGAGAAAAAAACGAATAATCCGTTAAAAAAAGGATAATTAAAAAAACTGTTTGTTCTTTTGTTTCATCTTTGCGCAATAGTTTTCTCCACTGCTGGCTTCAGAGTTTTAATCCAAAGTCACGTTGACCGACGCCAAAGCCTCCACCGCCCAGCTGGGGTACTGATCCCGAGAGGGAAACATTCGCTTCATGAACGTCCGAATGAACTCCGGGAATCGGCCCTCCACGATGCTCTGCCTCACAGAGCGCATCAGGGTGAGCTGGAAGGAAAAAAAAAAAAACGTTTGATAAACAGAGAAAATGGATAATTTAATGACTATAGCTCTCTGGAGGTAAATGACTTTCTGCCTCGAATTACAGAAAGTCAGCATCTTCTGAGCATGCTTGTTTTCAGGCAGCCATGTCAGCGTGTCAAGGTAATAAATTAGTAAGTCAAAATCAATTTAATAAATACTGGTGAAATATTAAACTATGACAACAAACTGTATGTGGGGGGCAAATATTGATCTAGGTTAACTTAAAGCAAAAGCACAACACGACTGGTGACATCTAGCGGTCATGTTGGGAATAGCAACTATCTCAAACACCATCAACCCTATTGAGAGCTGTGCAGTCCCTGCTTGTCACAAAAATAATGTTCTGGTCACTTCTATCATGGGCAAAGAACATCTGGATGTGCTCTTCAGTGTCTAAAGACATTACATGAAGTGGGAAACTTGTACACTGAGCTTACTTCTCACATGTGCCATCAATGTTTTAAACAAGCTGTTTTGGAAGGAAACAAACTCAAGTTGCTAATATTGAGCAACATGGAAAGTCAAACTCTTGTTCTTCTTTTTGGTCATCACACTTAGAACAGTCTTCTTTTGTCTGATTAAACACATCTCTTCAAGAGAAGTTAGACCTTGAAACATATTATGTAACACGTTGACACGTCACAGCTGTGTCCTAGGACTGCAGATAATGGAAGCAAAAGGAAGAAAATAAAACAAGTTTTATATGACATAGAACATAAAAAGGGCGTTATACGTTCAGGTAAGGCACTACAGAGAGTTGTTTATCACTTGAGTCATTTACATAATAAATTGATCTGAAACTGACCTGGTAAGCAATATTGTGGATGGTGACGTGATGCATGGCAGCGGTGTCACTCTTAAACAAAGCATGCAGGTAAGCTCGACTATGTCTGAAAAGGATAAAAAGTTTATTATTTACATCACTGTGGCACACATTACAAACAACTATAGCTAAAAGCACAAATTTCTGATCAAAGTGAAATTAAATTAACCAATAAAATAATACACCAGAACCACTTTGGATAAATGAATGCTTACAGTAGTTTTTTACTTTTAAGAATACATGAGAGCACTTTGCGAAATACTTGTTTGCATACTTTTAAATGGTTCCACAATATTTTGGTTCTTATTCTAGATTTACCTCTTGCAGGTTGGACACTGACAGTCAGGATCTATGGGTTGGAAATCCTTAGCATACTGCTTTTGTTTCACCTGGAGAGATCCCCAAGGCACTAAGGCAGAGCCAAACCTCTGAGGGAAAACAACACACAGAAAATTAGTTCACAATATGGGTACTAAGTCCTAAATAAAGATTTAGAGGTGATTTCTGAGCACGCGATGTAAAAAGAACCTACTGCAGTGCGGGTTGGGAAGACACAGTCGAACATATCACATCCTAAAGCAACACACACCACCAAGTCCACAGCGTACCTACAGTATGTGAGGACAACACAACTACTTGATTAAAAGCAGAAAAAAAAGAAGATTTTTTAAATGAATTTTATTGCAAACGCTGGTGAAGATTCTCAGTCATTCAGGACATGGCCAATCCCAAAAAAGTTAAAAACAAAACAACTGGACTTTATTTGTAACTGAAGACGTTTCGCTTCTCATCTCATCTGAGGGTGTTGGGTTCAAGTTATATATATATA